TAATTTTTCTCTATGTATACATATATAATTCATGTATACATACATTAATATATGTGAATTTTGTAAAATTTTTACATCATTTTTTTGGCCAAATGCTTTGAAGGTAAGTTACAGATGTTATGGTACTTCACCCTTGTAAATACCTGAGCATAGAACATTCTAAGTAATCATAATTTTCACACCGATTAAAATTAATAAAACTCAATATCATCTAATATCAAGTCTATATTCAAATTTCCCAGTGTCTCCCATTTTTTTGGTCAATTTTCTTTCTTTTTCTTATTTTTGAGACAGAGTCTCGCTTTGTTGCCCAGGCTAGAGTGAGTGCCGTGGTGTCAGCCTAGCTCACAGCAACCTCAAACTCCTGGGCTCAAGCAATCCTGCTGCCTCAGCCTCCCAAGTAGCTGGGACTACAGGCATGTGCCACCATGCCTGGCTAATTTTTTCTATATATTTTTAGTTGTTTAGCTAATTTCTATTTTAAGTAGAGACATGGTCTCACTCTTGCTCAAGCTGGTCTTGAACTCAGCTCAAATCAAACGATCCTCCTGCCCCAGCCTCCCAGAGTGCTAGGATTACAGGCGTGAGCCACCAGGCCTGGCCCTTTTTGTCTCTTAATCTAGAATAGTCCCTCACTCTTTTTAATGATACTGACCTTTTGAAAAATTTAGGCCAGTTTCCTTATAGAATGTCCCACATTCTGAACCCGATTCTTTCCTCACAGTCCTTTTGCCTCTTTCTCTATGCATGTATTTCCTGTATACTGGAAGGTGGGTCAAAAGGCTTGATTATATTCAGGTTAAGCATTTTGGGCAGGGTTCCTGCATAAGTGTGATGCTGTTAGTAAGTACTTCATGTACTTAGAGGCATACAAAATCAGGTTGTTCCACAATTGGTGGTGCTAAATTTGTTCCCTGGATTAAATTAGTGATTGCTGAATTTCTTCACAGGCATATTTTCCCTTTGTATTTATTAAATCTGTGGTGTGTAATACTTTGTATGTACGTGTGACATTTTGACACTATGCAAACATCCTTCCTTTCCCTTCTCCTTTTACCATATGGGTTTTAACTTCTATTGATGATCCTTGTTTAAATTACTGGGGATTATAAATGGTGACTTTTCCAATTTTATCATTCCATCTACATTTATTGGCTGGCATTTTCCTATAAACAAAAACTCCCTTTCCCCACTCTCTGAGTATCACTCTGGACTTACGAATTTAAAAAACCCGCTTTGACAATCTATTATAGTTATTCTTCTTAGTGGCCAGTGGAGTACCCTAAAACTGGATTCTGTGGGCTTTTGGTTTGACCTTATTAATTTGGGGGTACTTCCTTGCCTTCTGGGAAGGTGTTTCAAGCTCAACTTTGTTCTTTTGTACTTTTTGGGCCTGAGACCCCAAATCAGCCATTTCTCATAGAAATACCATTTCTTTTAGTGGGGAATAGTATTTAGATATCAAGATGTGGGCACCCTCTAGTGAGGTGACATTAGTTCTAAGAAAGATATATATGAAAAACTCTAATTCAAATTTAACATCAGAGGGTTTCCCCCATAACTTTTATATTTGAATTTCTTTCCTTAGAGTTTCTACCGACAAATATATATATATATTTTTTAACCTGTAGTATATTTGAGAATTCAAAAATTACATTACCAATAGCAGTACTAGCAATAAATCTGTGACATTTGAGGGTTTTTGTTTGGTTGTTTGGATTCTTTTTTCTCCCAGAATATATACCACTAAGAAGGTATGGTTAGAGTACTATTAAGCACTTCTGAATATCTCTAAAGCGCTATCATTTCTGACCCCTGCTTGTTAAACCTTAGATTATAATCTTTTTCAAACTGAAGAAATTCTGCTTTTAGTGGAATGTTTTCTATTCTTTAGTGCTATAGTTTCTGTTCTTTAGTGGTACACGTAAAACACAAAATAGCTTAAAATGCACATCCTTTCTGATAACAAAATAGACCAGAAAGGGAAAAAAAATGCACATTACAATGCAATACAGATTTAAGTAAACAATTCAGGATAGCTATGAATGATGAACATCTGAGCCCCTACACTGAACAACATGCATTTAGGCTGTTTTTCCATCAACTAAGCATCATCCCAGGATATATGTATTCAATGCACTGGTTACAGTGCATTGAGATAAATCTCTCAATAAGCACAAAAAAGCAAGTAGCTTGCTCTGTAGCAAATCTCCATGCACCTATTGTGACTAAAGAAAGTCAACAATTATGATGACTACACACACATCTCTAATTCATCACCTTAGGCAACTGTTGAGATAGCCCCAGATTTGCCCACATTTTTTTTTTTCTATTTATAATCAGGAAAGGATACAAGAAAAGCTAATTTAAAGAATTCAGTCTCCCATTTGACCAACATGTATTAGTTTTATTGCATACTCATGTGCTCTGCAGTGGGTTAACTCATTTCCAAAGGCAGGAGCTATACTGTAGCTTTCTTTAATAGTGAAAGGAAATAGCTGTATATTCTAATGACAATTTGGAGTCTTTAACTTTTATTCACTTACTGGGTTTAAATAAATGCCAGTTTAAAGACCTACAGGTTTTGGACACTGCTCTTTTTGGAGAATAAACATGATTAAGTTTGGATGCACATGTTTCAAGAAAAATCAGACACTGAAAGTGGATTTTTGACACTTCAAAGGAGGTGGTAAGTCAGAAAGCCTATATGAAGTATCACTCTTAATCAAATTTAACATCAGAGGGTTTCTCCCATAACTTCCTCATAATTGTTTGTTTTGTCTTTAATGCCACATAAAATCATTGTGAAAATTAAATGAATATGTGTAAAATGCTTAGAATGGTATCTGGCACATACAACTGTTATTGCTTTGTGAGAATTAAAATTCAACATAGCTTTTCTTTATAAATAAATGTTGCACAGAGATTAAAAATCTGAAAACAAAACTATCAAGATGGTATAGAAATCAATACTGGAACTTATAATAAATATTCCCCTATTTTCTGATCTATGGGGTTCAGGAAGAGTTCTCATTTGAGATTTTACACAACTGTGAAGTTTACTTTATATTCAAGGAAGAGCCTTCTGGTATCAGTTTTTAAAATACACAATTAAAATAAGAGCAGTTATCAAAAAACTACATTTTATTTTAAACAAGTTTCTACTTTATTTAAGGAAAAGTACATTCTGGTTTGTCCTCCCTCTTAATTCTGGGTACACACGGCCACCTTCTGCAGCATTTTCAATCGTCACAAGTTGACTGCCATCCCAATCACACTCACAAACCTGACCTAGTTTCCACCTCAATAAGTTATCTGACTCACCATGAGGGCGATGTGTGTGTATGTAGAGAATAAAAGGGAAGGCTCCTTCAAAAGAAAACAAGGAAGGAAGAAAGAAAGGAAGGAAGGAAGGGAAGGAAGGAAGGGAAGGAAGGAGGGAAGGAAGGAAAGGAAGGAAGGAAGGAAGGAAGGAAGGAAGGAAGGAAGGAAGGAAGGAAGGAAGATAGGAAGGAAGATAGGAAGGAAGGAAGAAAGGAAGGAAGAAAGGAAGGAAGAAAGGAAGGAAGGAAGGAAGGAAGAAAGGAAGGAAGAAAGGAAGGAAGAAAGGAAGGAAGAAAGATAGAAAGAAAGATGCTGGCACAGTTCAAAAGAACCCATCTGAGAAGAGGGCCTTCTTATGGGTCCAGCAACGAACCCTCAATCCCCCTGGGAAGGTTCCTTCCCAACATTTTACATAGCCTCTTTGTATCTTAGAACTTTATTTTTCATAACAACACGACATGTAAAATTTTTAAAAAATTGTAATAAAATTATATATAGTAAGAAAAAGGGTAAATCGTAAAAACGGTAATCAATGAAAACATCTGACTTCCACTTCAAACCTCTAGACAGATTTGTGTATCCGTCCAGAACTTGCATATATCATTACACACAATGTGTGTAATACTTCAACATAAATAGAAGTTATTCATACTACCCTGCTAATCATTCACCACTAATTTGGAGATTGTTCCCTATCAGGCGAGATTTAGCCTAATTAACTTAATTAAAACCAAGTTTTTTGAGAGAGTCTCACCTGTTGCCTGGGCTAGAGTGCTCTGGCGTCAGCCTAGCTCACAGCAACCTCAAACTCCTGGCCGCAAGCAATCCTGCTGCCTCAGCCTCCCACGTAGCTAGGACTACAAGTATGTGCTAATTTATATATATATATATATATATTTTTTTTTCAGTTGTCCAGCTAATTTTTCTATTTTTTTAGTAGAGATGGGGGGGGGTGTCTCACTCTTGCTCAGGCTGGTCTCGAACTCCTGAGCCCAAAGATCCTCCCAGCTAGGCCTCCCAGAATGCTAGGATTATAGGCGTGAGCCACCACGCCCAGCCAAAACCAAGTAAGTTTTAACAAAATAGTTTTAAATCAAACTCCTCTCCAATAGGTTCTTTCCGCTACAATTTAGATTCCTGTTGCTACTAAAGTTTTTAATTAATACGTAAAGCAGCAGTTTTCAAACTTGAGCGGACATCAATATCACCTGGAAAGCTTGTGGAAACACCTTGCTGAGCTCACCCCCGGAGTTTCAGGATTTAGAAGGTCTGGGGCGGAGCTTGAGAAACTGCTTTTCCAATAAATTCCCAGGTGATGCTGAGGGTTCAGGGACCACACTTTGAGAATCAGCCACCAGTATAAAGGCTGCATTATACCCATTCCTCCCATCTCCCAGCACCGCTCGCCTAAGAAGGCACAAGCGACTACTCGTCTGAAAACATCAAGGACCCAAAAGTACCCGCCCCAAAAGAAACAGCTCCCGATGCAAGCCGGAACCGACGTAAGACGAACCTATGTTCTGCGCCCCGCGCAGCCCGACTACGCCACTTCCCCCACGACTACACCCGCCTTCTCCACGTCCCTAACATGAGTTAGGTGGAATGCTTAGAGGGCGCGAGGAGTCACGTGAGATCAGTGACATCTCGCGAGTATTTGTGTATCTCGCGAGACTTCACTCGCCTCTGTCTTTTCCTCCTTCCAGCGCCCGGCTTTCCTCCCCTCCCCCTCGCCGCCGACCGAGTTTTTCCTTTTCAGACAGAGTCGCCTTGTCGTCGCGAAGGTTTTTTGTTTTTGTTTTTTTGTTTTTTTGTTTTTTTTTACTGCTGCTGCTGCTGCTACCACCACCACCCCTGGGCTAATTTGCCCTGACCCTTTCCCGCCGCCCTGACCCCAACCCCACACAAGGTAACAAACCCCGTCGGGGAGACAGTAAGGCCTCGCCGGGCCTCAGTCTCTCCCTAATTGAAGCCGAGGCCCGAGGCCGACTGGCCCGCCTCGTCGGAGAAGTCTGGGCGTCCGCAATAGAGTTAGGAGCCACCGTCTCCTCGCCCACCCAGAGTTGAGCCTTCAGGGGCCCCCGGTGCCGTGGCGGCGAACTAGGCCAACTAGGGGAGTCCGTCGGGTGGGGTTGGGACGCCGGTGACGGTTCCGGGAAGAGCTTACTTGAGGGTTGTGGGGCTCCAGCAGTTTCCCTGGAAACTGTTGTTTGAATTTCGAGGTCTGAAATAATTATGCAAGTACTGGCGGGCTTTGAGGTGTTGGGGAGCTGGAAGGAGGCAGGTTGGCTTGCTTTAACCCTTTGAGACCTTTCCCGATGCCAGGCTGTAGTTGAACAGAAATGTTAAGAAAGATAAGGATCCTGGGAAGTCTTGTACGTTTCCTTATGTCATTAAAAAAGAGTTAGTTCGTATCTTATTTTCAGGAAAATGAGTGAGCTGGATTTGGCAAAAGGCATGATCCTTAAATCGGAGCTTATTTGCGCTGTTTTACTAAGAAATGCATCGACAACTATTTAGGTGACTGGGTGAAAAATTTTTGTTCTGAAGAACTAAATGCACTCTGAATAGTTCAAGTAGAGTTAATGTAGTTAATTTTTTAAAAAAATTCTTATTTGGCTTTGGAAGCAATTGCTTAAAAATAAGATTTTTCCCCTCAAAAGATTCAACTCTTAAAAGAAGATATAACAGCCTTGATTATGAGCCAAACACAGTGCCTTCCCTGTAATAGGAGTTTAAAGAAAATTAGAAATTTTCATTTCCCTCTTACCTCCTTTTCTACTTTTCTCTTCATATGGAATTTATCTCATGTGTTTATAATCCTCAGAATCAAGCTATCTTTTTTTTTTTTTTTTTTTGGAGACAGAGTCTTCTCTGTTGCCCGGGCTAGAGTGCTCAGCCTCCCAAGTCCTCATGAGTAGCTGGGACTACAGGCATGTGCCACCATCCCCGGCTGATTTTTTGTATGTATTTTTAGTTGTCCAGCTAATTTCTTTCTATTTTTAGTAGAGACAGGGGTCTCACTCTTGCTCAGACTGGTCTTGAACTCCTGACCTTGAGCGATCCTCCTGCCTCAGCCTCCCAGAGTGCTAGGATTACAGGTGTGAACCACCACGCCCAGCCTATGGTTTGATTTTTGGTCCAGTTTTCATGGCAACCGTTTTTATTTTCCCCAGATGTCAGAAGATTTAGCAAAGCAGCTGGCAAGCTACAAAGCTCAACTCCAGCAAGTTGAAGCTGCATTATCTGGAAATGGAGAAAACGAAGATTTGCTAAAATTGAAGAAAGATTTACAAGTAAGTATAGGTGGACAATTGTAGTTTTTCTGTTTTTCAAATAATTTATTGCATAGAATCCATAGGCACCCAAACCATGTTTGGAGAGGGTACCCTCCTGTGTGTGTGTTCACATTCATGTGTGTCTGTCTTAGTGTTACATGTATATACACATAGGCACTGTGGCTTGTAGGAGGGTTGCTTCCTCTGTATATATCAAAATGAGTGACATGTTATTCTTAAATCTTGGATGCTTCTATAATTTTAAAATAAGAGATGAAAGTCTTAAAAGTCTCTGTCAGTTCTTAAAGAAAGGGTACATACAACTCTACAATGAAAAGTGCTTTTATTTTTTAAGACCTGGCAAGGGAAATTTAATTCAAAAGATATTACAACTAATATTCAAAAAGAAAAGTATAACCATATTAAGATTATTTTTAATGCCACAAGATTCTTTGAAAATGAAAATGTGGCTTTTCCCCTCCAAAGTTGTGCCTTTCACCTTGTATTGAAAACATATATTTCAGCAAATGAGAGGACCAAGTTAAAAAAAAAATCATAAAAAGACTTCAGGAGGTACATGTTCTCTGCATAGATGTTTGAAGTTAAGGTTAGGTTTTTACAGTGTAGTTGTTGACAATTGTTGAATTGATGTGGTGAAAAGGAGATCTTAATTTGTCTGTCATGGGAGAGTTGAGTAGGTATGATACCTTTTTTTTTTTTAAACTTGCACTGGGATTTCAAGACAAAGTGATAGTAAATATCTGTTGTTTCTTAGGACAACAGGTTTATTAAGAAAAACAGCATATAGAATTAGTGAATATTAATACATGGGACTTTTCATCTTAAGAATGTCCTTTAACTTCTGAACCTGATTTTTAAAAAAGTTTTAAGGGTATTTTGATGATCTCTTTACTGATTGAGTAAAGAACTCAAATTTGTGTTCTATCTAAATAATCTTTCCCTGCCTTTATCATCTTGTTGTCCATTAAAACTATTAATATTTTAGGGATATTAGAACTGCAGACAAATGGAACTTAACTTGAAATGGGGTCCAGATTTGGGATTCTGAAACTGCTTATCTGGGCATAATTAAGATGAGTTGAATATTTTCAAATTCTAGATTTAGGATAATGGTATATTTTTAAAAACAAACTGTCTGGGATAATTTCAATATGAACAGGACCCCTTCTTCAATGTACAGAAGCTAGGTCTGTGGATTTTAGGGTGCTAGTCAATGAGAAAAAGGTGTTTGGGGCCATTACTCTCACAGGCCGGTCATTAAAAATAACTCAGAGGTTTGCTTTCTGTGCATTCATTTGATTTGCTTATATGTTGTGAGTATACATTGAAGATGAGGCGATAGAGGCAAACTGACCTCTTGTATACTTATACTCTGTAAAGTACTAACTTTATGTTTGCCCCAATGAGAGATGTCCAATCTACTTTTACCAACCTAAAACCAGTCCTTTTTTTCTTTGAAGAAAAGAAAACATTGTGTGCCAGTGTTCTCTATATTGCTTCCTGGGCAGTATATGTGGAACTAACTGGTAGAGGGGAAGTTGGGAGTGGAGTTTGAACTGGAGTTTTAATATTTCTGAAATAAATTGTCATTAGAGTCTGGGTAGAACTGCTTTCCGATCTGTACTGTGTGGAGAAACCATCATGGTAGACATTATAGTAAGCACCTAAAATGCTTACCTAGGGTTTGGTTAATAATGACTTGGGAACCATTTATGTGTAAAATATTCTCTTTTCTATAACCATTTAGAATAGCACTATCCAATAGAACTTTCTATGATGTTACGAACATTCTATATCTGTTGTTCAATACCATAGCCACTAGCCACATGTGGCTATTCAACACTTAAAATACAGGTCAGGTTACTGAAGAGCTGAGTTTTTAATTTAATTAGGTTAAATAACTACATGTGACAACCATGTTGAATGCCAAAAATTTAGAAGGTTAAGTTCTAATACTTCTGGTAGTAATAATAGCAATGCCTTTCCTGACCAGTTTTGATCATAGTTTCTTTCCCTCTCAGTCTATCATGAGAAAAAAAGTTTAATTTTGGTTACTAGGTTAGGTCCCTTTTGAATTGAAAACTATTCAAAGATGGAAGGCATCTTTTAAGATTAAGTGAAATTCTGAAAAGTATTTGGCTACATGCTTCTATTTAGTAATTGTCTCCATTGAGGCTACAGTTACAGCTTCTATTTTGTTTTGGGTTTTTCCCTCCCTCCTTTTTCTTTGCTTTCTGAGAACTATCTCATGGCATTGATTTTTAAGTCAGTCTGTCTGTCATGTTTGGTGAGAAGTCTGTTCAGCCTGTTTGTGGCTTCCTCATTTTCATATTTTTCACCTATCATATAGTTTCTAATTCCTTGTGTTTCTCTATTGGAATTATATCCTTATCCTGGTTATTAATTTGTTTGCCATTTGATTTATGACAAAATGCTCTTTTTGTATTTTTTCAATGATTTCATTTTGCCAGTAAGGTTTCCATATTTATTTCTTTTATGTACTGTTTTTCATATAGACTAAAGTTACTCGGCAAGCAGCAAATTAATCTTCTGAAGTCCTAACTGCCATTCTTTTTTCACTTAAAAAGTGGGTATAGTAAAATCCAGGCTAGCTAGCTAACTAGCTCCCAGGGGTAGTCTATGATGATCACAGAAATAGTAAATTTATTAGGCTGTTTTACTGAATAAACTCATTCTAAAGGAGGCAGGGGTCAAGTCACTTGTCTCATATATTACAGTGGCTCTCTGCATCCCCGAAACGCCTTCCTTCAGTAAGCAGAGTGCTTGAGTGCACCCCCTTTGACCTGCTGATATGTAGATCACAACACCTGATGCTTCCTGGAATTGCCGATTACTGTAACTGCTGCCCATCTGTGGATGAAGGAGCAGTTTCAGAACTCAGACTTGAGGGAGGAAAAGTAATTAATGGTATGTACCTTCAAGAAACCCCCTCATACATAAAATAGTTTTTCTAATACTTTGGTCCATGTGCACATGTGAAGAAAAAAAAAATTAGAAGGTTCTTCATAGTTTGGAGGTAGATGTAAAACTATAGCAGGGTTAAAGGACACTGTGAGTAAATGCTCTGGACTTTTTTAGAGGGTCATTTCAACACAGGGCTCTGAAAATTCTTATAATATGCACAGCTTTTCAGGACCCTTTTCTTTGATGAAAATGTATTTCCTTATGAAAATACAGTGGGGAAATGTTCTGTCATAAAAGAATAGAGTTCTGAATTTGAGACCTATAAATGCAGAATTCATGTTAGTGCTTTGATAGTTAAGTGATCCCTAAGAAGATGTGGAAGTATTTGATGATAGGGATTGTGTGGGTTCTTGAGTCAAGCTTACTGGATTATGTTCCTGGCCCTGAAAGTGATTAACTGAAAACAAGACTGGATAATTTACTCTTCTTCTCTGCATATTACATAATGTATTTATTTGGAAGGTTCTTAGGTTTATTTGCAAAGGACTATCTAAAAAGTATTTAAATGGCTACTTGGCAACTAATAAAACTTAGAGATGTTATTTCTACTGAATTTTTAACTCAAATTTGAGTCTTGTAGGACTGACCTTTCTCTAAGAGCTTATATTCATTTTTTTTAAAGACTCATATACTACTTTTTCAGAAATAGCTAGGAAGATTTAGAATCTTAAGGAGAGAGGTAATATTTACTGGCTACTGAATCAGAACTATTAGAAAACTTCAATGGGAACCAAAAGAATCTCAGTATATAGTTTAGCTTTGCTAATTTTTTTCCCTAAACACACAGTATGATGTTTTAAATGCAACAGTGGGGGAATAGGTATGCAAGGTCTTAAATCAGATAAGATGAAATATAACATAGATCTTCATTAGAGTAAAAAATACAGCAGATAGGTAGCAGAATCTATCAATGTGTACTATTTCTCAAATTTTTAAGCCATCTGTATACCAAACATCTTTGAATGAAGCCAATAAATATAAGCCTGAATTACAAAAAATATCTGTCACACAGGCGTTGCCTGTTTATGTTTTTGTTTTTTCCTTTTAAATGAAGCCTAATGTACTTAATGTTAAGGTATGGAATATTTTAAATCTAACCTGATAATTTGCTTACCCAGATGGGGTGAGTTTTATAATAAATGAATACGATGACTACTGGTTTCTTTTATATATGTCTATAGTATTTTAGTAGAAATATGTATAAGTAGGAAAATTTTTATTACTAATAAAAGGGCTGCTTCAAGTGTTTTGAAGATGAGGGGGTGGCTAGGCAGTTAATACTACTGCCTATAAAACAGTAGGGTTGCATAAAATATACATGACAATGATAAGAATAAAAGTGATCTCAAATCTAATTTAGTCTCTCATACTTTCTTATTTTTAAAGAGATCTAGTCAGCTAAAATAGTTACTTAGAAATAATGCATGGTATTTAAGCTCAAGTCTACTCTATTTCCATTAGTATTTGTGGTTAATTAAGTTGAAAGGCAACTATATGGGCTTAAATCACAGCTCTACCACTTACTGGTATAAAAGGTTGTATCTCGGTTTCTACATGGGGATAATCACAACTACTCTCAATAGTATTATGAACAGCAAATAAATATATAGAGAGTGCTTAAGTGCTATACAGTGTAAGAGCTGTTGTCATCAGTAACAAAGTAGTTTACAATGTGAATTATAAAAATAATGTTACGGTTTTTGTTTGTCTTTTTTTAGGAAGTCATAGAACTAACCAAAGACCTTCTGTCAACTCAACCTTCTGAAACTCTTACAAGTTCAGACAGTTTTGCTTCTACTCAGCCCACTCATTCATGGAAAGTAGGAGACAAGTGTATGGCAATCTGGAGTGAAGATGGACAGTAAGTGTAGAAAAAAAAAACTCTAACTATAACATGAAATAATAAAATACAATGGTAAGAAGTTTTTATTCAGTTTGAACTACTCTGTTTTAATCTTTCTACGTAGGCAATATAATTTATAGAGCCAGTTTGATTTTTGGATGGTTGCCATTAATACAATATAGTTTTGACTTTAGATTAAGTTGTAGGGGAGAACAATGGCTTGGATACTAGAGGAAAGAAAAATGAAAGCAGAGAAAAATGAATGGTTATTTCTAAAATTAGTAAATTCTTTTTGGTTGATTATCTCAGACTTCTGTGACTTGCACACACTGAAATCATTCTTATAGAAAATCTTTTCTCAAAGAGATTAAAGAACATTGAGCAGACATATGTAAGGGACTTTGCAACAATATTGAAAATTGAGTGAATGGTTGATTATCTCAGACTTCTGTGACTTGCACACACTGAAATCATTCTTATAAGAAATAATCTTTTCTCAAAGAGATTAAAGAACAGTGAGCAGACATATATGTAAGGGACTTTGTAACAATATTTTGATTAGGACTTCCTTTTTTGATAGCCGATGGCTAACTTCAACCAGTCTTTGAATTATCTTTGCCAAAAAGGCCATTTGATTATAGAAGTTTCATTTTAGACACATGTAATGATTGTATCACTACAGTATAAGTCTTGTAGGCTGAGTACGAAACCTTTACTCACCTGCTTACAGCCATGATATCTTTACAGGTGTTATGAAGCGGAGATTGAGGAGATAGATGAAGAAAATGGCACCGCTGCAATCACCTTCGCTGGTTATGGCAATGCTGAAGTGACTCCACTGTTGAACCTCAAGCCTGTAGAAGAAGGAAGGAAGGCAAAAGAGGATAGTGGCAACAAACCCATGTCCAAGTAAGTAACTGTGACTTTTTTAGTATTTTATGTGTGATTTTCCCCATTTGGGCACTTGAGGTAGTCTGCAGAGAGAATCTCAGGAGGCTAGATTGAGGTGAGAAAGTTATAATACTGATTATTAACATTGTTTTGAAGATTACTGATAATAGGGTTAACATTGTATGTGTATGCCTAGGTAAAGTGAAGACATTTTGGTTCACTCTTGGGCATTCAATAAATATTAAGAGGATACTCTGCACTAAGAACATTTTCCTGGTATATTTTTATAAGCCAAGTGCTAGAGCTTACACCACAGTGAAGAAGACCAACTTGGGCCTTGTCCCAACTGAGTTTATTAAACATCTAAGGCAGAAAAGGCATAATTAAACAAGTGCTTTAATAATAAAGTATAAAAGTTATAAAGGGGATATAATAGGTACTTTAAGGGAACAAAGAAGAGGTACCAAAACTATACTTTCATTATCAGGGTAGGTTTCTTTGAGAAAATGTCATCTCAACTGAGACTTGAAAAGAACAGGAGTTAGCCAGGGTTAAAAAAAAATTAGAAGGCCATGTGACATTGAGTATATATATCTGGGTTTGCATCCTATCTCTGTTATTAAAAAGCCTTATGACCTGGGAAAAGCTGCTTCACATCTGTTTCCTCATCTGTAGAATAAGGGGCAATAGTTAGGTACATTAACTAGGTTGTGAGGATTAAAGTGATAACATCAGTAAAGCACATAACACAGTTCTTGACATGTAGTAAAGGTTTAGTAAATATTTACTTTTTTTTTTTTTTTTTTTTTTTTGAGACAGTCTCGCTTTGTTGCCCAGGCTAGAGTTTGTTCCATGGCGTCAGCCTAGCTCACAGCAACCTCAAACTCTTGTGCTCAAGCGATCCTCCTGTCTAATCCTCCCAACTAGCTGGGACTACAGGCATGTGCCACCATGCCCGGCTGATTTTTTTGTATATATATATATATTAGTTGGCCAATTAATTTCTTTCTATTTATAGTAGAGACGGGGATCTCGCTCTTGCTCAGGCTGGTTTTGAACTCCTGACCTCAAGCAATCCGCCCGCCTCGGCCTCCCAGAGTGCTAGGATTACAGGCGTGAGCCACCTCGCCCAGCCTAAATATTTACTTTTTAAAAAGGGTAGACATAAAAGTAACAAATCCTGTGATAAAAACTTGAGACTGGAAGGTGGGTGGTTTGAGAAGAGCGTAGAGAGATAGAATCCAGATTATAAAGAGCTGGTAAGCCACTGATAACATTTTAAGTTGAAGGGATATGATGTGATCAGATTTGAGCTTTAGAATGACGGCAGGCAAAAGAGAAGGGAGCTACTGCTATGATCCAGGTATAAGATGATGGCAGCCTGAACCCAGGGATTGGGAATGGAGAAGTGTATGGTTTTGAATGGTTTTTAACAGGCCAGATCAACAGTATTTTTAGTCTTTGACTTCTGAGTAAAAAGCCATGCTTAGCTTCCCGGTGGTGATATGGTACCGGGAATCTAGATTTTGCCTTTCTTTAAAGATCTTTCTTCATCCTTCATTTGGTTAGAAGTTAGTGTTAACTGAGCAGAAATTATTGAGAGTTTTAGAATTTTTGGAAACACTTGGTTATTTTGTTTTTATAAGAATTGTTAGCAGTGATTTCCTTTGTTGCTACTACATTGCTCTAGGTGAAATAGTTTTATCTGCATTGAATCTCATATTTTTTTCTAAATGCTATACTTGCTAACTGTATCTATTTGGAAATTGATAACGGCTTAGACATCTATTGATATTGAAATTCAGTTTATTACTAAAACACAACTGGTAAAAGCTTATATACAAGTCAAATAAAAATTCACATTGAAATATTTGATTTATATGTGTGATTATAGTTTAAAAGCTTCTAATGATGCTACCTATTTCTTTAAAAACCATTTCTTAGTAGTACTAGGTGATTGGCATTGATTTTAATGAGTTAGTGCTTTTCATGTAGAGGAATATATGTTTATTTGGGTTTTTTGCACTGCTAATGTCTACAAAGAAGTCATCTTTTAAGTCTTAATAGTTGACATTTAGCTCTGTTTTTTCCACATAGAAAAGAAATGATGGCCCAACAGCGTGAATATAAAAAGAAGAAGGCTTTGAAAAAAGCACAGAGAATAAAAGAACTTGAGCAGGAAAGAGAGGATCAGAAGGTGAAATGGCAACAGTTCAATAACAGAGCCTATTCTAAAAACAAAAAAGGCCAGGTTGGTAAATCTTTCAATCACACTTTGTAAATTTGAAAAGTGCGACTGTCATTAAAATGACTTTAATATGAAAAGAGAGGTACATAGATTTTTGGAAGTACATGCTTAACCAGAGCGTAAATTCAGAATCATCAATCCTCAATTTGGCTTATTGAAAAATAACCTCCGTTAGCCACTGTCTCTGCAATAAAAAATGAGTTGAGTTTATATCAGAAATTACAAAGTCTATGCTCTTTTCCTTGTGCAAACTAAAATTCAAAAAATTATTTGCTACCTTACCACTTACAGGCAATCTGCTGAACTCTACCTGCTTTATTAACATGCTGTGGGCATCACTGGTAGAAGTTATTTAAAAGAGCATTCAAGGGCCGGGCGTGGTGGCTCACGCCTGTAATCCTAGCACTTTGGGAGGCCGAGGCGGGCGGATTGCTCAAGGTTAGGAGTTCGAAACCAGCCTGAGCGAGACCCCGTCTCTACCAAAAATAGAAAATAAATTAATTGACCAACTAAAAATATATATACAAAAAAAAAAATTAGCCGGGCATGGTGGCGCATGCCTGTAGTCCCAGATACTCGGGAGGCTGAGGCAGTAGGATCGCTGAGCCCCGGAGATTGAGGTTGCTGTGAGCCAGGCTGACGCCACGGCACTCACTCTAGCCTGGGCAACAAAGTGAGACTCTGTCTCAAAAAAAAAAAAAAAAAAAGAGCATTCAAGTTCAAGTGTTTCGGGGGTGGAGGGAGGTAGAAAATAACCATAGCATTCATATAGAAGTTCAGAATAAGGATAATTTGACTTTCATATCTTAGTTTTCATTGCTGTCAAGATAGCTCCTCCAGTGGTGGACGTGACTTCTGGAAAGTAGCACTTCCTTTTCAGAAAGATGTTTATTTTGTGACTTACAAGGGCCAAGAGACAATTTAGGCATCATAACAGGTCCCACAGTTAAACATCAATACAGCCAGAGTTTGGTCATGCTAATAAAATGGATAGCTCATACCTAAAATAAGGATTGGAGTCTGCAAATCTAAAAATTTTAAGGCACCTGAAGGCAAGCGTTATGAGGATTAATAGCATGTAGTGATATTTTCCACAACTTATAAGTTGGAGTAAATGGCTTCCACCATGAGCCCATTTCTGTAACCATTTTGATACTAAATGAAGGCAGTGTGCTTTTCTTTTGTAAAATATTGAAACCAGAACATATTTTAGCATAATTGAAACTTTTTCCAAAACTAATCAGGAATGATTTCTGTTTTCTTTCCCATAGGTAAAGAGGAGTATTTTTGCCTCACCTGAGAGTGTAACGGGCAAAGTTGGAGTAGGAACTTGTGGAATTGCTGATAAACCTATGACACAATATCAAGATACTTCTAAATACAATGTTAGGCATTTGATGCCTCAGTAATCAGAAAAACTGTTGGATTTCATCTCTGCAGGGCTTTACATTTACCTTTTTATCCTTATATTTTTCTAAAGGTAAATTATTTGTTAGATGAGTAAGGAAGATACCATTGTTGTCATTATTTGACTTCAATAGAATGAAACTTGAAGAAATTGAATTTGATAACTGCTATTCATTTAACTTTTTTCATTACTACTACCACAGTTCCCTCAAAGTTTGTTGAATAAAGCAACTTTTCTAGATGCTGCTTAGTACAGCACTTAGATGAATTGTTGATCTTCCTATTATCAGGCCCCCACTTAATCTATGGTATATACTTTTTGTAAGTCATAACTTGGAATTTTCAGATGCTTTGAACTTGATACATATTCTAGCAATTCATTGAAACATCAAGACAAAACAACCTGCTAAAGCGATCTTTACCTTTTTTTTAATCTTCAACTTTGAAACCTAGCTTTTGGTCCATTTCAGCCTAAATACAGGTTAATTTGTAAATGGCAAAGTTTGTTTTGAGGTTTTTCCTTCAATACTTTGTTTTCTAGGCCTATTATGCCATGGCTAAAGTTGATCCAGCTTTTATTTTTATTTGAGTTTTAGTTTTATGTAAGAAACCATGTTTAGGATGAGCTGCCTTTTCTAAGGTATTTTTGTTTTCTGTATGTTTGCTTTTTTCCTGTGTTGATTTTTCACTTAGTTGTGGTACCATGTTTTGGATGTGTAATGTTTATATGGGAAGACAAAAAGCTGATGTATAGCCCTGTATACAGTGTAGATACTATTTTTGTAAAAAAAAAAAAAAAAAAAGCAAGGCTAAATTAATGAACAAGAGTACTGAATGTTTCATCATTAAAATTTCCTGTATTTCTTGTGCATTAATCAGACCATAATTTTCCTGTATATTATGTTCATGTAGCTGAGTTTATAATTTTTAACTAGATCAAGTCAGCATTTGTTGGTGTAAGTGAACATCACAATTACTGTCAGTTGAGTTTAAGCCAAATATATGCATAGAAAAGGGTCTTCCTATTAATGGAAGATGATGATTTTTAGGATGTATGTTAACTTCAGTTTTGTATGTTTAACTTTTATTAAATAAAGTATTTCTAAAATCTCCAGGGTGTGTTAACAAAAGGATGATGTGTTTAGCTGCCAGCGTTGGTATAGTGTTTAAGCCTTTGAAGTACTTGCACACAGCATTGCCGTGGAAGAGAATATTCAGTATGTGATAAAGATTTCAATAAATCCTTAAGTATTCCTTCCATTAGATAAAACATTGCATCCTAAAGTACAAGCCAGTCTTATTTTACGGGCTTGTGTTATGTATAGGGGTATTTGTAAATTTTTGGTGGAAGGGGAAAATGAGTTTTTATTTCATGAATTTTAATTTTTTCATGAATTGAAACTTAGGAGGATATTGATGAGTAGTAGAATTCATCTCCCTTCTACATTCAGCCCCCTTTCAATCCAGGTGGTCACTGTTTTTTTCCTATAACCTATGGCCATAGGGTAGAACATGAAGGACAGAAAGAAAGGCACAAGTTGCAGTAGAAAAAGGGCCTAGGAAAAGCCTGAAAATTTCTAATTATGTTGATGCTCCTTTTGTTACCATAGTAACAAACATCTTAAGAGCGTACTAATAAGAGTAGCCATGAAAGATTGCACGAGAATCCTTTGAATTAAAAAACTGAAAAGAAAGTTGGTGTAATTGTGTGACCTTAGAAAATGGTTTTGTTGAGATTACCTTGGTGTGTTTGTTGGAATAATAAGTTCACCTGGTGTTTGTGTAGGCAGGACTCTTGTTAACAGACTTCTCCCTCCTTTGACTTTGATTTGCCTTTTCTGCATGTTAATTTCCCCTGGGGTCTTTGTAGTAGGGAGAGAGAAAAGGAAACAAAAGTAACCCTGTCATAAAAACAACTTTGTTTTGAAAATAGGATGTGAGTAGTAGGTAAGGAAATCAGAAAGAAACCGTTGTATCAAAAGACCTAGATGTAGCCCTTTGGAAATTCCTGGTGTCAGAATGATCTTGGTGTTTCTGGACTAAAGTAAAAGTTAAGGACTGGGGTTGGGGGGGAGAGTACCTGTCACACAAATAAATGTAACACTGAATTTGGAAAGATGGTTAATGAGAAGCATACCAACAACAGTTTTTTACAAATGAAGATAGTTAAACTCTTATCTTCTTAAACCAAATATGAATGTTGGCCTCATGCAGCTTATAAAATTTAGTGTAGAATTTTCTTTCTCTGTCAAGAAACAAGACTTAAAGTTCTGAAACTGATAGACTGAAATGTTAAATATTGATTTATGGCTCCTAAGTAGGAATGATTGCATGTAACTTCTCAAAGCTTGACATTTGATTTTGTTGAACATTTCAAGGAAAGAACAATTCTAACACCTCAAAAATTAGTAACCAGAATTTTTAATTTTAATAGTAACCACAGGTAACAAATGCTTATGTAAAGAGGCTATAGAACATACTGGAAGAGTAAGGACTCTAGGACCAGACTGCTGTTTGAATCCTGGCTCCCCATTTATTACCTATGTGTATTAACTCTGCTACTGTGTATTTCTCAGCTGTAGAATGAAAATACCTGTTTTATTCGGTTTTAAAGATTGAGTTAATATGTGTAAAGAGCTTACTAGAATATCTGGCATATGGTAAGCACTATAGAAGTGTCTGCTGTTATTGTGCAGAGTGCCAATGGTGATTACCGGATCTGTTTTCATTGAAGAATAGTGATACACATTACAGTGGGTAACAACACCCATTGTTTATGATTTGAAGCCCCAAATTATAACTATTACTGAAATGTTATCAAATTACCAAAGTTATAAGATACATTAGGTAAATTCTAGCAAAGGTTTAAATTAACTTTTATACCAGAGCATGTTAATGGGAAGGAGGGGGTGAAGGTTCTAATAAAAATCACCCCTAATGTTTGTTTAAAATTAAAGAGGAATTCTTGGGTCTGAGTCTTACCCCAGATTTAATCCGGGCCAAGGTGTTTGTCTGACAAACACCACAGGTGATTCTGATGTGCATTGCTGGCTAGAACCATATTTGGGGTTAAATGTAAAAGTTTTATGTTTTTACTTTTGAAATGAAAAATTACCTTTAGTGGCAATTTTTGGCCTAATTATGAAGACTAGACATCAAAGCAAAATGAAATGCATGTTAATATAGCAAAACATTTTTTAAAATGCTTGTTATTTGTCACAATGAAAGGGGTATGTGTTTCCAGTATGATGTATTTTTAATGCTGAGTTGCCTGCCTTGAAAATAACAAAGGAAACCATCAGGTAATATAAAAGGAATTTGTATTAGATCATTAAGTATGAAATGTCCAATTTCCTTAAATACTAAGTTTGACAGTGATATATCTCTGACGTTTCACTTTGACACTTCTTGTTTTATTATTATTGTGAAGGTACATCCTCATTCTTCCAAACGTGGTTTGGCTTGTGATTACCTTTAAAAAATTTTTTAGAGCAAGTTTTGTAAAACCATGGATAAGTCAAAAATTCATGTTATTTTTGAATGAGTTCCATCTTGGAACCAATGCTGCGCAGACAGCTCAAAATACCAACAAAGGGTTTGGGAAGGATGTGGCTAATGAGTGCATGGTACTTCTATGGTTTGAGAAGTTCCGTTCTGGTCATTTTAATCTTGAAAATGATCCACGTGGGTGACCAGAGTCCAAGGTGGATAATGATGAGCTGAAAGCTGCTGTGGAAGCGAATCCATCTCAACCTGCACCTGAATTAGGAAGGTTTGACATTACTGTTCCAACAACATTGGACCCTTTGAAACAAATCAGCAAGGTAAAGAAGCTGGATAGATGGGTTCCACATGAACTAAACAAGCATCAGAAAAGAAGTCGTCTGGAAGCTTGCCTTTGCTGTCACGACATAAAGGCAAACCATTTTTACACCCTATTTGTGATGAAAAATGGATTCTTTTTGACAATTGCAAACGTATGGCATAATGGTTGGATAAAGATGAAGTGCCAAAAGGCAGTCCAAAACCTAGTATTCATCAAAAAGCTAATGGTGTCTATCTCGTGGTCCAGCACTGGTGTTATCCACTGCTGCTTCATGAAACCTGGTCAATTGATTACAGCAGATGTCTACTGCAATGAATTTGATGAAATGAGGATGCTTGCGATTAAGGCAGCTGAGCTTGATCAATAGAGACAGGCCAATCCTCTTGCAAGACAATGCTTGGCCACATGTTGCACAAACAGTGCTGCTCAAACTACAGAGGCTGGACTTGGAAACTCCATATTCACCAGACCTCGTACCAACTACCATTTTTCTTCCAGGCTTTGGACCACTTCTTGCAAGGAAAAATACTCAATTGTCAACAAGCTGTGAAACACCTTTCGAGATTTCATAATCTGTCACTTGCTTTCCAGGCTTCTTCACTGCTGGCATAAACAAGCTACCTTTAAGATGGCAAAACTGGGCTGGGTGTGGTGGCTCACACCTGTAATCCTAGCACTCTGGGAGGCCGAGGTGGGAGGATTGCTTGAGCTCAGGAGTTCAAGACCAGCAAGAGCAAGACCCCATCTCTTGCTAAAAAAATTAAAAATCAAGATGGCAAAATTGTGTTGATAGTTTAGGCACATTCTTTGATTACTTGTACTGCTTCTTGTTTGAAAACTTTATTTGAAATCGGACACTTCATATTTAATGACCTAATGGTTTTGTAATTTGTGTCTATAGACTGTAGTTTTATAATTATACCTTTTATAAGGTGAAAAATACTAGTTGTAAATTCAGCCAAAAAATATACTTAAATCTTTGATTTGGCTTTTTGCCTTAACTTGGGTATTGAGTGAAATATAAAAGGAAGAAAATCTATTAAAACCCAACAAGGTTTTGTATTTGTTAAAATCTTGACAGGGATCAATAAACACCTGCTGATTTGTATCATTTGTATCATACTATGAAGCTATCAATTAGTATAAATGGTAATTTACATGTTCAACAGTAAATGTAAACATTCTTTATATCTAGGATTTTTGAGTTGCACGTTAAACTGAATTTTTACTGCAGTGGAGAGGAAGAGCATAACAGGCAAAATAGCAGGTAATACTGTAGTTTAAACAAACTGGAAAACCCAAGTAATTGAATCCTTTATCCTATCAATTTTTAAAAGGCATGAATATGTGCATAGTTCTTAAGAAACATTTTAGGAGGTTCACAAACCAATATTAAAGATGGGGCATTCTAAAATTTTGTTTTGGCCTATCCAAAAAAGTAAGTAAAAGAAAACATAAGATGATAGATTTCTGTGAGGCTTTTCAAATGCTTTTTTTGCCTTTCCGATTTATGTATATAATGGTGGTTCTTTTGTGCCCTTGAGTGGGGTAAAGCAGATCTGAGAATAACACTGGGTTTGTAGTAGTACTTGGGGCCCATAGTCATGGTTGTTATTTTGCTGGTTCAGGATTTCTCTTTCTTGGTGAAACTGATGTGCTTTTGTTTTTTTCCCCTTTCAAGCCCTGTACTTAATTTAGCAAGATGCAGTGAATTTCTGACCAGAGAAACAAAAGAATTCAGGCTTGGAGGAAACACTTGACTCCATATCCTGGAAAAACTAGAGTTGAAGCCTGAGATCTGCAGCTAGGCTAGTCTTTAATAGATGGTATTTGTCCAGTTGTTCATTGCTCAGAAGTAGCAGGAAGGAGTAAGTATCCCTTTGGTTCTTTTGCCTGGAATTTTTCCCTCCAAAAGTGCTCTCAGGTTTAGTTGACCTAGCTTTCCAGAGTAAGTGTAATGAAGGTACTAATTTAGAAATAACTGATCTCTTGAATTTATATTCTTTTTATGATTTTAGAGATATGTTATGGATTTTGTTATACTTTTATAATGCTATTCTGTGACCTGCTGTGGACATCTAAAATAAATATCTCAGTTATTGCCCTACTAATAAAGTCTTTAAGCGTTTCCCATGGCAAAGTGCTAAGAGCTTAAGGATACGCGGAGATTTTTACAATTACAAACATGTTAGTTGGCAGTATTTCCCTGAATATGACTGTGTAAGAAAGGTAAAACAGAACCAGGAATTGAAGTTGTCAGCCAGTACATTTATTTTGAACTACACTGCCTATTTAAAAGGATGAGATATATTCCACAATGAGTTTCCTATTAGATCTGGTAGATGGTTCAAGAAGATAGCTGATTCTCTTTTCTTGGCAAGGTCAGCACTAAATACTAAGACACTCAATTATCAGTGTATAATATGCTCAACTTTAGGTTAGTCCTTAAAGATCAGATCACTAAAACCAATGCTATGTTAATCTTATAAAAGCCTTTATTTTAAAAATTCTATAGGACATCAAAATTTATTTTTTGACAAGGTCTTGCTGTGTTGCCCTGGCTAGAGTACAGGGGTATAACGTGATTATAGCTCACTGCAGCTTCAAACAGCTGGGCTCAAGCACTTCTCAAGTCTCAGCTTCCCAAGTAGCTGGGATTATAGGAGCACACCACCATGCCTGGCTAATTTTTTTTGGTAGAGGCAGTCTTGCCATGTTGCCCAGACTAGTCTCGAATTCCTGGCCTCAAGCAATCCTCCTGCTTCAGCCTCCCAAAGTGTTGAGATTACAGGCATGAGCCAATGCACCTGGCCAAAATCGAACCAATATTTGGAAGTAGTCTTCTGTAAATCCTAGAATCAAAATTAACTAAAATTCAAGATTAAAGATGAAAAAATTAGAAGATTGCATTCATCAGAGAAACTAGAGAAGTACATACCTCTTTCCTGTTGGTACTATATCTTCTTAGAGATTTGAAGGGGAATTAGAGCTGTTTTAAATATATCACTTTAAATCCTTAAAACCTTTCAAGATAGAGGTAGTATTTTTAACAACTTTTCAAGAGGAAACAGGGTCCATGATGAAATTAATTTGCCCAGGGTCTAGCAAATGCTTGGAACTGGGATTAAAATATAATTAACATTGCTTTTCCCACAATATGCTGCTTTTGGTAGATGTGTTGGGAATCTCTGACTTTGGTTAGGAGCTTTGTCTCAACAATCCTTGACACCTTTTAAAATCCCGTCATAATGCCAAAAACAGTCATTGTCATGGGGACTAGAAAAGTCATTTCTATAGTTCTGGTACCTATTCTAACCAGAAACTAGAGTCACAATGACCATCAGAATCCTCTGGTAATATGCACTGGGAAGCTTTTATCTCTTAAGATATCACTCACAGGTATTTTACAAACAGGTTACCCTAAATAAGATTAGTGGGGACTAAGTGAGAATCCAGACTTGTTTTCAATTTGACTAATGGTGTAGCCAAAATAATTCCCTAAAAAGAGTTAAGAGAATAGATTAGAATGACAAATGGCTTTTGTGTCCTATCTGAAGCAGTTAAGATTATTGGGTACATTAAACTACATGCAGTTATGTTATATGGAGTTATCAGATAAGCACCTATTTAAATTGTAGAACAGGAATAGCAATTATAATTCAAACTCCATTAATTGCACAGTTACCGAAATAGTATCAACAGACATTTAGGAGATAGTTCCCTCTTAAGGTGTGGATACTAATCCATATTTTTGCCTTCAGAGAAGGGTGGTACAAAAATTACTCAGGTATTCTTTGTTCACAGTTTTATTTCTTGCAATTAACTTTTGTGTCTTCAAAGTTGATTTATCTTTTTAAAAAAGTAATACTTCTTACCCATTATACAATCTACCCAGCCCCAAGGAAAACAAACCCAGGAAAGGAGTAATTTAGGGGGCAGTTGAAATACGTACTTTAGGTTTGTAACAAAGGCTTCCCAACCCATCATCCTGTACATATACAATAAAATGGCAGCACCTCAAATTCACCTGAATGAAGTCTCAAATTCCAGCCCTAGGCCAAATGATGCAAGTGAATGCCACGGGAATAACAAAGTGGAAGGTTAGTTATTGGTTTCCATTTACTTTCCATGGTAGTTAAGCACAGTCTTTAAACTGTCTCACTTGGGAAAGTTAAAAATAAGCAAATATGTAGAAAGCAACATTCTTGACTCAGCCAGGAGTAATTATAAATGAAACCAGAAATAATTTATCTGGCCCACAGAACTGAATTTGTTTTGTCATGTTTTTCATTAAGTCCCCAGCACCTGAAATGTAGCAAGTTCTAATATTGGGCTTCTAAAGGCATGCAGTTTTTCATACACATGTACTTCAGAGAATTTCTTTCACTCAAACATAGCACAATCAAGGAAAACTTGGAGGCACAGGAAAAGCACAAGAACAAGTAAATATATGCTGAGGCCTAACATGACCAAAATGGCGTACACTTCATATATAGAAGCAGTGAATGCTGTTAAAGTGCTACTCACAAAAGGATAGTCTAGCATTAACACACAACTCAACTGCACTGCTAAATATGGTTGTCTTTATTTTCTTTTTCCTTGCCCAGCCCTATCTAAACATAAAATAAAACTACAGGACTGAAATTAACAACCCATTAAAATCAGCAATAAGTTATGAAAATCATAAAGCTTTTTTTTTTTTTAAGTAATTAAGAGTAGTTAAATTATTCAAAGTATACAAAGTCCAAACAGCCAGGGGTAAGGTCTCCAAGAAGGCTTCCCAGGGTAAGGGAGAGGGCCAGAAGGGAACCTTGGAGTTTGAAAAACAAAGGGAACACATGACATCAAAGTGCAGGCTAGAAATTTCACTTAGAAGAAAATTACATTTCTGAAAACATTTGTAGGAGCAACAATAGCACCTGCACAGTGGGACTGTGAGGAAGGAGAGAGACTGCCTGTAGGAATGGAAGCAAATCTTTACATTAAAATGAGACAAGTGCTGAACTTAACTATGTTAACTAAGATAGTTTCTACTATAGATATCAGATGGTTAAAAGCTGGTAAAAGGTAATGATTCTAAAAGAAAACAAAAACAGCATTGACCTTTTTTCTTCCTAGCCCAGACCTCATTGATTTTGTGCACAATGAAGAGTGAGGTGTGAGGTGTTTTATCATTATCAAATGCTGCATCAAAATAGATGATTTTTTTTCCCATGTGTTTTTCCACTATAAAAGACATCTATTTTTTTTTTTATGGACAAGCTTTAAAAAGATGTCATTTTGGTTTTAAACACATATAAACAGTTATCAAAATCTGAAATAAAAATGCTGCCGTGGCTCAGACCTTGGCCTGCTAATCTGCGTGCACAACTCTTCTGACCCACTCAGACACAGGCACATGGAGCTTTTTCCTTCTGGCCCCCCAATCCGTACTTATAGGCCTTGTGTGACAGAGGCTGTCATGCATGGACTGCCCCCAAGCGGCCTGGGGTGGTGGGCTGGAGAGCTGAGCTGGCGGTTGGGTGCCCTAGTGCTAACAATGCAGGATAAGGTTAGCTTACTTAGCATGGAATCCAACAGAAAGCTGAGCTGCATGATGATCCCTTTCAAAAGGCTTCATGGGAGTCTCTCCTTTCGCAGAGCATGAAATGAGCTTTTTTATGTTTTGTTTTTTTTAATACAGAATTGATCATCCACAGGCTTCATGATAAACTCTCCCAGGCTAAGTTTTAATAGCTCTTTAGCTATCCAAGGTTAATGCCTGATTATCTTGTCTTTTCATTAGTATAGGTTTGATTTTGTTTTTAGGACCATAAAGCTCAGGAAGGGTTCATAATCCCATCCTTAAATGTGTCTACTGAATGTAGTATGAGCAAACTAGAAAAAAAAAGTGGATAGAATCTTCAATGTCCTCTTTTAAATCAACTCAATCAAATCAAAATTTCACACAAGTTTTCTGTTGCTGTTAGAAATTGTGATTTTTCCATTATGAATATTTGTTCTGCTGGGGAGGCTCTGCTCCACTTTTGCTAAAGTATTTGCTTAAATACAGGTCTGTTGACCCTTTTGTTCAAGTATAGTTGTGTTTTTAGTTTTAAAGAGGAGACTGCATCATGAACCCAATTTAAGAGATTGTTTGTATTGAATTGGCCCAGTGAATACTTTGCCCTGCACTGTTATGTCATGCTGGGTTCTAGGAAGTGAACGAAAGTTTGACACTGGCACTGGAGTAACCCTCATCACTCCCAATACTCTGCAGGCTGCTGTGGTCATCAATGTCACTGATGCTGGTGGTGCTTATATTGTCCACTTCTCCATGGGAGAACTCTGTGCTTTCAACGTCCACTTCAATCTCCTCTGCCAAAGGGAAAAAAAGAAGAACATTACATTAATAAGCTAGTTTATATGCCCCTTCAAAAACTAACAGGGCATGAGGAAAAGTGATATAAAAGAATGTTATACAACAAGCTTATTATCAGTGGACTCTGCAGAACAGAGGTATTGAAGGTGAACAGACACAGGAATATTTCTGGCCAAGGGGAATGTCTGGTATACAGTGGTGGTCTTAATTTAGGCAGCAAGTTTACTAAAACCCTTTGACGCCAGTCCGTCTGGACCTCCCACTAAAAGCACTTGGCCTATTTGGGAATTAGTGCTTAATATTAAAAGATCAACCCCAAGTGGTTTAAACAACATCTGTTTTGCATTAAACCAAAAACTAATTCTCAGTGTTGTTTATTAATCAGGTTTGCCTTAAAGGGGGAAAAAACACATAAACTGAATAGGCAAACTAGAAAATGTATCCATCCAGGCCTTTGGTGGTGTCATTCTACAGATAGTTCAACAGGCTTCTAGGATTCATCATAAAGATCTTTGACTATTCAGTAACTAAAATCAATCATGAAGTAGACTTTGAGGGATTTGTCTTCACTTTAATTTTCTTCCTCAAATGTAGTTTGAAGTAAGGGTCTGAGGCTTGAAAGTCTCTGGATTATAGTGAGATCTATAGTAAAGATTATAGTAAAGGCATTCTGGTAGTAGTTTATAGCTTCAAAAATCAAATATTTTTAAAACTCCCTAAATACATATAAGACTTAGCTATCAACAGATACTTGAATTGTTAAATACTACACATACAATCACCAG